CTGCCGCTGCGCCGGCGGGGGTGGCGGCGGCACCAAGCAGCAGCAGCTCCGGCGCCCGCCTGCTGCTGGCCCGGGGCGCCGGGGCTGACGCCGTCGGCGCCCATGAGGGACTTGCGCTTCTTGTTCTTGTCGACGGCCATCATGTTCTGCAGCAGCGTCTGGAGCCCCGTGCTCGACTTGAAGGCGTTGATGTCCTGGTCGGTGTGCGGGTAGTCGAGGCGGTTGTAGAGCTCGCGGCGCTCCTCGTTGAATACGGAGCTCCGGGCGAGGATGCGCTTGATCTCGACGAGCAGCGACTCCTCCTCGTTGGCTTCTTCCTTGGTGCCGCTGAGGCCGTTGACGGCAAACTCCTTGCGGACGCGCTCCTGCTGGGGGTTGAAGTTGAGCATGGTCTCGTGCAGGGCAAACTCTTCTTTCGTCATGTACTGGACGGGGGTCTGGGCGCTCATCATCTTGGCGGCGATTTCGTAGTAGCGGGCCTTGGAGGGCCTCCATGGTCCTCGGCTTGGGCACGGGGGATGATGGCCTTACTCTCGTCCCCGTGGCCGAGGCCTCGCCGTTGATGGCTCGGGCGGCGTAGTCGTAGCGGTCCCAGATGACGGGCCAGCGCAGTTCGAAACTCCCTGACGAGCCCCATCAGGTAGTCGGCCTCGTTCTTTGGTTCAAGTCGCGCTCACGAGGTTGGTCTGGTACTGGTCCGGGCTGTACTGCGGCACGTCGACGTGGACGTTGTACTTGGCGAACGCCGAGTCCTCCAGCACCTGCTCCCGCTTGTGTTCTTGCGCCTTGGGCTCGGTCGGCGCCGCGGCGTCTCCCTGTGCGTGCGGCGCGGCGGCTGGCCGGGCCGCGTTGTCGTCGCCGTCTGTTTTCCTCCGCCAGTGGCGCAGGACGAAAGCGCCATCGTCGCCGCGCGACGAGTTCTGGAAGGCGCGCAGCTCCCACCGCGCGGCGGGGTTTCCGGACGGCGATGCGTCGCTTCTTGAAGACGGAGACCTCGGGGACGATGGCGATGGGGTTGTCGCCGCCGAGGTTCTGGACTTCCCCCCCCCCCCGCCCTTGAGGTTCGGTCGTGATGCGGCCGTCTTGAGTTTTCTTGGCTGGCCGGGGCCCGGCGTGTGCGTCGAGGTTGAGGACGTCGCGGAGGTCGCTGGACGCCATTGTGAGGAGGAGAGGAAGAGAGAGAGAGAGAGAAAAGTGTCGATGATGGAGTGGGGGTCGATGGTCGGATCAGGGTCTGTTTCCGCCCCAAGGTGAGCCCATCGATTGCACAGCGATGTGTTCGTTTCCGTTTCGTGCAGGTTGGGTCGATGGATTTCGATGGGAGGTGCGGACGGTAGATGGTGGATGCGGGTGGTGGATGGAATTGGTGGTGGTGGAAATGGTGGTGGTGGAAATGGTGGTGGAAATGGTGGTGGAAATGGTGATGGATGTGATGGCTCGAAAATTGAAGACGCGAAGTGACCTGGCTGGCTGCTGGCGCCTGCGTCGTCGTGAATCGAGGTACCGTCCACTCTCCGCTGGGGCCGTGTACATGTATGTACCTACCTACCTAGGTACCTAAGGTCCCTCTAAGGTCCCTAGGCAGCTCCCTCAGCCACGGTTTTGCCGGGTCGCCCGTGGCTTCCACCGACTCCCCGGAACAGCGCCTCTTCAATGGCAACACTTCTATTTCGTACTCGACACGCCAAATTGTGTCTTGTGCGCACATACACATGTTGACTACCTGCTGTATGAGCTCAATGCATGGTGGGCACCACCCGACAGGCATCGGCCACCTCGAGCCGACCATGTCAGCCCCGTCCCGGCCATGTCCTCCTCTCATACGGCAGCATGCCAGAGTGGTTAGTGGGTGGGACTTGAATCAGCTGTTGTTCGTCATCCCATGGGCCAGGTTCGAACCGCTGCTGTCGACGGCCTCCGGCAGTCCGGCAGTGAACCGGACATGCCTTTTTGTCCTTCCTTTCGGGTCTTGATCGACTGTCTCCTGTTTTGATGGAGCGGTGGGTGGTGTGCTAAGCATCCGTGCATCGTATCGTGTGCCGTCTCGAAAGGCCAGACAGCTGCATACAAGAGATGCCAGCTGGCCACCACGATGACCAAGAGTGGGGTAGCGTGTGGCCCCACCCGCCCGCCGGCACCGGTCAAAGCTGCTGGAGTCATCGACTCGACCTCTCTCTCCAGTACTGCCTCCGACGGAAGGTACCTACAGAAAGGTGCTTGCAGCATCAAGCTTCCGGCATCTCTACCCTCAACCACGACTATGCGGCACTCCATGCCCCCCTCTCCCGGTCATAGCAGCTATCCTTAGACCTTCGAAGACAACCTCTTGTTCTGGCGACAATACCTTCCACCCGTCTGCCGCCCCCTCTCGCATGGCATCGCCAGCATGCTCACCATCGCGTTGCCCAAGGCTGGCAGACGATGCAGACTGACGAGCACCCTCGCCTCGCCTACGACGAAAACAACCACCACGACGCCACGAACACGACCACGATGCAGGCACATCAACAACTCGGCCTGGAGAGCCGTCTCCGTTCTCGACGAGTGAGTTGTCTCCTCCGCCCCCAATCCACGCGCTGCTCGGCTGGGTCACATGCTAACGTGCGCGCCCCCTCCTCCTCCAGATGGGTGGCTCGTGAGGCCCGACCCATTAGCCTGCGGCAGCTCATGGTCTTTGGGCGCTCCCTGACCGAATCTCGACTCTTGAGCTCTGCCAACTATGTGCGGACGGAACTGCCCACTCGGTATGCGAACCCAACAGCTTTTTGTTAATTTTTTTCAAGCACAAATAAATTTATGTGTGGGGGGAAAAAATAATCTTCTTTTTTTTTGTTCGCACATTTGTATTTTTCTTTTTTTTTTTTTTTTTTTTTTTTTTTTTAT